CGAGCTTGCTCTGGATGTGGTCGACATTTAGGTGTTGTGAAACGAGTCATGGTCAGCGAGATAAACACCGCCTGTCGTAACCAGCTGCGATGCTGGTTACAGCGCGCTGCGCTGGTTTCAGGAGCAAATAAAACTAGAGATGAGAGTCAAATAGAGGAAGGAAGAGGAAGAAGGGAAGGCAACTTCAGGAAGGCCAAGTAGGATGCATTTTTAATTCAAGCCTGTGAGAACCTAATGGGAGCAAATGTTGCATTGGAAAGACAGTAACATTAATGTGGTTTGGCCTTCATGCGTAATGTTTGATATACTTTGAAGGCTGCCCAATCAGCAGCATCATGTCACACCCACTTGTCAGTTTTTAGAAATTCCTAGAAGAAATCCCAAAAGAAACAAATAAATAAATAAATAAATAAATAAATTTCTACCTGGCTGCCGTCCCCAATCCCAGGTCTCGATGATGGAGTGGTGAGCGGAAGTCGGCGTCTCCTCCTCTTCTTTCTTCTCTTTATCGCCGGGCTCATCTTTCTTCTGACCACCGAAACAATCAGTGCAATCTTCTAGAATATCCAGAAAGTATTGATAATGGTGAGAAACAAACCTAGCCGGCATTCATACGTAAAGATGCCTCGATCTGACCTCAGCATGACGAAGCAATACCTGTGTGAGCCGATTCTTCCCCGCTGAAAGTTATTTCTTCATCTTTCACCATCTCATTCCACATCTCACTCAGCCCTTCAGCGGAGAAAGCCCGCTACCAAAGGTGGAGAGGTAATACAAAAATTTTAAAATATATTAAATATTAAAAATAATAAATAAATACAAATGTTCCTGGACGATAAATTGATGCAGCAATTATTGCGATAAATGATAATATTGTCGTTTAGAGACCGTTTTCAACCAATATACTTTTAATGGCATAATAAAGCAAGTTTGTCCTCTCAAAGGCAAATAAACTTTAATTTCATAAGAAATTCTCCACAATAGAACTTGAAGACATTTTGATCGTTTATCAGAATAATGAGATTTAAAGGAAACAAACGCGACCGTGCGGTCATTTTAGAAATGGCACACCGCAGCCCGGGGCTGATATCGACGAAGTTACTCGAGACGAATCCGGCGATCTGCGTGATCAGTGCCTTGCCACGGTTACATACCTGTAAGTCTATCTTCAGCCATTTGTCATGAAATCTCAGCTGGGCGTCCAGGGTGAAGGACGGAGAAGGCATCTTCCCCTCTTCTCTCCTGGCTGCAAACGCAGCCAACCTGCAACACGCGAAGAGCTCCGTTACACATGTAATGTATATAAATTATATATTTAAGGTGCATGCTTATTCCACTCTCTTCACTTTGGAAGTCTACGCTTCCTCAAAGTACGAGGCGTCCTCTGAACAGCTGAGTAACGGCCGACAGACGTTTGGACAACATCAGCCTGGGCAGCTTACTGATGAAGTCTGCCGGTGGGAAAGCGGTGACCTCTGGCTTTAATGCTGGTAACACTAATAATTTTGGACAGAAGGACAAGGAGGACACAACAGCTTAATCATCAGAAGGATGACACAGAGAGGACTACTGGCTTTCAAAGGAAGGCAAAGAAGTTTGACCTCAATTAAAATGTCTTAAAGGACGTTTCATCAAGAGACCAACTAGGAATCAGAAACTGACAAACCAATGACAAACCATTGTTCGTTGGCTCGTCACAAGACGTTTCAATACACAGTCGCCATGCAGACCTTTCATGCGCACTTTGAGACGTGCCAATTTAAAAGTACATTTCTGTCATCTCCTCTAGTATATTGCAAGGGAAATGCCATTAAGTCTGGAGGTCCATTTTGGTTGGATCAGAGGTCATAAGGGTCAAATTGGGGAACAGAGAAAGAGCCCAAAAAAAGAAAAGGAAAGAAAAGGAAAGTGGGTATAATTAGAAGTTTTTAAGAATATTACATGGAAGTTTTTATTAGATTAAAAAAAAAATGGCCATACTTTTGTGATTTGTTTAAACACAAACGAATCTAAACTATTTAAAAAAAAAACACAGGTTTAAATACGTGCAAACAAATTGTTTGTTACTGTTTTTATTGGCTCTCGTGGCCTTTATTTAAAGTACTCAGACAGGGAAGAAGGTAATGAGAGAGAGGGAAGAAAAGGCAAACGGTCGCCAGGCTGGGATTCGAACCTGCGACGGCTGTGTCAGGCAATAAGGCCTCCTTAAGACAGTATCACGGCATGCCAACAATTCGGTTTCTTCACATGAAGAAAAAGGACAAATAGGGGGAGGAAACAGCAGCATGTAGTTATGAATAAAAGTACAAATTGTCAAAGGCGAGAAAAGACTCGACTACTCTTTATTGTTATCAAGTATCAAAGCGTTTCAATCAAGCAACTCAAAGAGCATCAAGAACTGGTATAATGCTTTTATCCATTTCTAGGTAGTGCTTATTATAATGGTGGTCTGATATAAAAATTAGGGCTGATATCCGATATTAATATTGCAGCTAAGGTCAAAAAACAGAATTATATACATTTCAATTGCATGAATAAATGATCACACCGCTGGGTGATCACATCGCTTCAGTTAAAACACCCCCACAATGCTACGCTTCATTACTGTTACAAACCAGACAAATACCACATGACCCTAAAACGCAAACATAAACAGCAACAAGATGGAAATAAACATCAGTTGTTAGTATCGGCCCAGTTTTATTTATTGAGCCGATATGTTAAAAGATAACCAAGATCGACCAATACAGATGTTGATGCAGATATATCGTGCAGCCCTACTTTATTAAAAGAAAAAAAAATAAATTGAGGGTTGAGCACTATTGGGGAAATGTGCGTGTTTTTGTCTGAGTTCTTTGTGTTACTACCCGAGTTGTAGTTTGTTATGTTGACCTCAATTTTGGGCCCAATTTATCATTTTGAAATTATTTTTGGATTTTTTGTAATAAATTAACTTTTTTTTGTATTATTTACTCAACGTCTCTCTGGCTGGTTTATGTAAAACCCTCCCAATACTCATTATTGGGTATTGCAAAATTGAAAAAAATGAAGGCACCAAACATCTCCAAAGGAATCCAAAAATATTGTTGGCACGCTTCCACTGATCGTGTGACACACACATCTCATCATTGCTCTTGTCAGTGGGCAGCGCTTGAAATGTAATGACCGAATAAACATTGCATCATCAGGAGTTTGTTATTTTTCTGATATTGCACAAATTGATAGTGCAATGACAACTGCAATATTGAGCAACCCCAAATGTGCTTCACGGTTGTCAAATTTCAGGTTCTAAAAAGGATGTCAAGATCTTACACTCATGACTTCAACTTTAGAAAATACTAATACAGGGAGAGGGGATTTTTTTAAAAATCTGTAATATATATTCAGGGTTCTTTCTGAAGCTTTAAATAGAATAGTCCAACAACCACCATATTTACACAAACAGACAGCAAAAAACTGTTTTTCTTTTAAGCTCAGCCACTTTCCATACTAGGCGTGAGACTTGTCTGGATAAGAGTGGTCCTGAGCCAACACTCGAAGGCCATGACATATTAGCACACCGATGTAAACAACTGGGAGGATTTATCATGTGTTGAGAAAACACTGGACCACACCAGTATTCAATGGCAATTATGCACAGATGAACCCCTGACACGGATCAATAATGTTGCTATAAGCAGAAAAACAAACATTATATGGAGCTGCTACATCTGACATATGGCTACACAAAGCTATTGGCCCTCGTGTGTATGAACTTTATGAGCCATAATACCTTCAACTTAATCAAAACACTGACACTTTTAAGCTGTTTATGTTACATACCGCTTCATAAATGTCCCCGTGATTTAAGGCCGGGAATATATGCAGCTTCCGAGCCTGCGTGAAAACAGGAAAGCTGTGAATGCTAGCACGGTGGGTTTCGCTCGCTAGCAAGGGTGACAGCAGACTCCTCCAGCGGCTGACACCGTCCTCTGACACGGCATCACCGCAGCAGCAGGGCGTTCTACACCGCTGACCAGCGTCCGCTTCCAGTCAGGGACTGGAGGAGCTAACCAATTCACCGGCTAACCTGCTAACATCTACAAAACGCTAGCTTTCCCGTGCTAAACTAGCTTCCGTCATCCAAGAATCCCTGCAGCCCTGACGCTAAAGGGAAGCAGTACACCGCGTTCGGTTCAGTATTGCGAGACAACGCAAACCAAGGCGAGATATTCATAAATTACCTGCGGTCACTTGTCAAGCTCTTCTCGTCCCCTCAGCTGCTTTACTGCATTAAAAAGACGTTCATTATGGACTTGATTGACGGGTCTTGGACCAGATAAGGAGGCATGGAAACCAATTACGTATACCGACTGCTAGATTAGATGCGATAGGTCTGGTTCACCGCTCATCCCGATGTGGGGTGCTGTGCAGTCAGTTTCCGCCCCGCCCGCGCAGGTGAGCGGTATTGATATAAACCACGCGCCACTTTTGCAGGAGGAGGCGGGATCTTGAAGAGGCGGAGTTGACCTGGATTGAGGGAAAATTGTCCACTGGGTGGCAGTGTTGCTAAGTGAAAGGCTTTACGTCTCAATCGGTGTTGCCAGATAGAGAAATTGGGTTTCTTATGAACACGTTGGGGTGAGGAAAAAAAGGGCTTTTTAGGGGGTTGTTAAAGTGTGGACTAGTTATTATTGTGTGACAGAAAAAGAAAAAAAAAACTTTTAAATTTTAATAAATGTCGTGCTTTGCACTTATATTATTCGTCTATTTTAAAATGCCTGAAATCTGCCAAGCATGACATCATCAGTCATTGGTTCATAACTGCGACAAAAATATATATTTTAAGGCTTAAAAGGACATGATAGCACCACAAAAAACACAAGTCTCTCTCTAATCGAGTCCAAAAAAAAAAAAAGACAACCAAAAACCGCAGCTTTTTTGTGTGGGGCGCGTTTTAACATGGCATTTGTGCTTGAAACAGTCAGGCAGATCTGGCAACCCTATTCTCAAAGCACACAGCAATGGCCGATCACTCAGGGCTGTCTGGAACTCATTTGGGGATAGCTATAGCCGTGATATCAAGCTTTATTAATGGCTCGACGTTTGTGCTTCAGAAAAAGGGAATACTACGTTCTCGCGACAAAGGTAGGGGGGAGGGGAGAAGCAGACATAGACAGACTTGGGAAAAATACGTGACAGTGGTGGCACTACTAAACAAATGTACCATAAAGTTGAGCGCAATCTCAGGCAGCGCGGTGTGACGTCATTCATGTCTTGCAGGGTGTTTGTACCTGACAGATGTGGTGTGGTGCTGTGGGACGCTGTGCAGTGAGTTTGACATCAGCAGTGTTTTGTTTTCCTTAACAAGCTTTTGTTTTGAGCTGAATGCGACCTTACACCCGTCTGCTTCCTCAGTGATCATTGGTCAAGTTGGGAATTTCCTGGCGTATAACCTGGCCCCTGCTGTGATTGTTACACCATTAGGGGCCCTCGGAGTACTGTTTGGGTAAGCATCAGCCACGAGTGATGCTGCCGTGGTGATGTGTCTCCTCAGAGGGAATGTGAAAGTGCAGTCACCATGTGCAGTTTGTGTCACACTTATTTCTGTGATCGGTGTTCAAAAATAGCACATTACAAACGGGAATATTTATTAAGAGCACTATTTGTGTTTGCGGGGCGATAATTGCATACAGTTTCCTAAAAGAAAAAGAAGTAATAAATAGTTATCGTCAAAATTATTGTTGTCACGATAGTATCGCCAGATATCACTTGATATTTTGCATGATGTCATAGAAGAAATAATGTTTCTTCTGCCTTATTGACCAGTTCTGTCTGTCAGCAAAGCAAATCAGGTTATCCGTTACACTTAAATAATAGATGTGTCCGGCGTTACATCTACTGATGCGAAAAACTGAAATTGACAGGAAGGCCTTTGCAAGACCACTTGAACTCTGTGTTCGTAGTAATGTCGTTCTCTTGGGATGCAGAGCAGTCCTGGCTTCTTGGATCTTGGAGGAGCGTTTGAATGTCCTGGGGAAGCTCGGCTGCATCATCTGCTGCTGCGGCTCCGTCGTGCTCATTATTCACGCCCCTAAAGCGGCGGCATCGTCGAGGCAGGAGCTCGAAGACGGACTGTCGGATCCAGGTGACGATTTCTACCCTGGGATATTAGGACCATTGTAGGTAGAAAAAGAAAAATGGAATGCATTTCTGCCAAAAACACTACGTTTTTTTTTCTATAAAGAACAGGAAAATTTCTGTGCTTGAAAACGGAAAAGGAGAAGATTTTTCCTGCCGACAACCATCACCATCTACAATGACTCTTTTAAGAATTTCAATTAATATGACTTAGAATATTTAATTACCCCTTGGGGTCAATAAAGTATTTTTGAATTTGAAAAGTCAAAAATTTGAAAAGAAAAAAATTATTCATTTTGAAATTTATATCAGAAATTGCCTAGAAAATCACTTGGGGAATTTCAGAGTTTGAAAATTTTGAGAAATTTTCTTGTGTTTTCTAGAAAAAAAAACATAACAGTTTAATTTTAAAACTTAGTCCTCTTTTTCAATCTATAATGGACCTAATATGCTGCCGTACATTTCTCTTTTTCTAACACTTTTTAACGTGCGTGTGAGACATGGCGGACTGTGCCTTTCACTCATCGTCTACTCTTTCCTCCTGCAGTGTTTGTCACCTACATCCTGCTCGTGTTGCTGACCCTGGTCACCCTGATTGTGTGGGTCGCTCCAGCTCACGGGACGTCCAACATTATGGTGTACGTTGCCATATGTTCGCTTCTGGGAAGCTTCACCGTCCCGAGCAGCAAAGGACTCGGCCTGGTGGCTCCTGACGTGTTCGGCAAAGGACAGTCAAATGTCGGCACTGTGGCTCTCTTCCTTGGCCTGCTGGGGGCGCTGGCGGTCAGCATACTGATCCAGTTCTTCTTCATCAATAAGGCCTTGGAGTGCTTCAGCGCCAACATATTTGAAGCGATATACTACGTGACGTTCACGTCCACCGTGATTTTCGCCTCTGCTCTCTTGTTCAAGGAGTGGACGGGACTCACGGTCACAGACGGCCTCGCCATGCTCTGCGGCCTGACAACGGTGTGTGTGGGAGTGATACTTCTTCGAATTTCCCAGGAAGCTGTGATTACCTGGAAGGAGAAAAAGAAACAGAAAAAGACAGACTGATTGTGTTAGGGTGGGGGTTTTTTCTTCTGTTTTTTTTTTTTTTTTGCAGGACACAGACTCTGTTGCTCTGCACTAACTCCCCTTTAAGTGACCAAAGCTGTGAGATGAAACAGCCAGCCGTGATCTTTGACCACATAAGTGTGAGGAGGAAAACACTGTGAGTTTTTTATCGGATAGTGGGTGGGATTTATCTGGGAACAAAATGGCCTTATGGCTGTACAGGAATAAGGAAGTGTAGGGACTTTATACAGTGCCTTGCAGAAGTGGTGATATAACTAGAACTTTATTATATTTTGAGAAAACACAACCGTAAACCTCTGTGCATTTTATCAGCTGGACTAATGGAGAGTAATGCGCCACGAGAAAGAGGAAAAAGATGTTTTATGATTCTATGTGACACACACTCCACCCTAACTCAGAGAGGCATGATGGCCCCACTGCCGTGTTTTACTAAGATGGGTTTTGATGAAACCCATACGGGTCTCTTGGAGGGGTGCACTGAGAAATCATATCAAATTTCCTTCACTTTGGCAAATTGTCAGTCGGTTTATACTTCCAAGTGAAATAGAGCTGGACAATAGACCAGTAGCAATATATAGAATGTAATCGATATCAATACGTAATACGTCTGTTGGAATTTTCAATAATGTCACTGAATTCTGATCCAGAACCGCACAGCATTCTGGGAGATGTAGGCAGAGGAAAGGTTTGAAAATCATGTGTAATTTTCCTTCCACTTAACATAAGTTGGTCTGTCAAAGATGATAAATGTTGTTTTTAATACTACATAACAGAATTGGTATTCTGTTATCGACTCCTAGTTTTTCTAAAATAACATTCGCCATTATTAACCCTGTTGACTGCCTGCATTAGTCATGTCTAAACAAATCACTCTGCTTTGGTTCAGCTACAGGGTTTCCCCATAGGACGCTTACAGCATTACCTACCCTTGGTACTTGAACTGGGCCTTTTGAATTATTCAGTCATTTCACCTGATGATTCTTGAGCACTGGTGTTGCATAAAACATGAAGAGCAGCTGTATCGTTTCAGTCCAATGAAGGGATTTTTAAAGCTGATGGTTTCCGCTTTTATTTAATTTTATTACAATGTTGCATATATATATGTTTTTTGTAATCTTTATTGATTTTACATGTAATAAATTAATAGAAACACTTTCTCCAGTGGGATTTTCTTATTACAGGATTTCTACATATTAAGTCATACAATTTAGTTGAAACGTTTGGTGATTCATTTGAACATTTCTCTGACCAGGATGGAACGTTCTCACAACAAACAAACTTTTTCATCTTTTTAAACGCTGACTCTGGATCCCTCCTGTTATAATTATGCATACAAGCAAAAATACTGTACACATACCTGATAATACCTATTATTTTGTCCACTTGGTCCACTGACTCTCCTAGCAGCACAACAGACACTCAGCATGATTCCAACATTGTAGGTTTGAAAGCATAACTTTTGAGTCAAACACAATTATTGTTGCTGTGATCCAAAAGGCCTTGTCAGAGTAACATCCACACAACTTGTATTTAATTATAAAGTTTTGAACTGATTATTTTGGGGGAGTATGTATGTTTTTGTTGAAGAGATGACATTATCATATGACATAAACCTAAAAAAAAGTCGATTTTGCACAACACCAACCTTTATATACCTAAAATATATCATCTTTTTTATGACCTGGTGTTAGTTTAAGCCGTCTCGAGTTGTTCTTGAGCTGATTCTAACATCTTGATGTGGAGTAGAGCCCCGTGGAGTGGGTGTCGTGTTTTCCTGTCTCTGTGGTTCCAGGTTTCAGCCAGCGGGGTGCACACGGTTCAACGGCCTCCGCTGTGCCCCGCAAAGCAGCAGCAGAAGAAGAAGCTCGCGGTGGGGCAGTCCTCCAGTGGCCGCAGCAGCAGAAGAAGAAGAAGCTCGCTGTGGGGCAGTCCTCCAGTGGCCGCAGCAGCAGCAGAAGAAGAAGCTCGCGGTGGGGCAGTCCTCCAGTGGCCGCAGCAGCAGAAGAAGAAGAAGCTCGCGGTGGGGCAGTCCTCCAGTGGCCGCTATCGGTACCTGGTTGAAGGAGGAGGAAACAGTATGTGACCGTCCGAAGCAGAGCCGAGACGCAGGCCGGCCAGTCGCTGTTCGCTTGTTTCAGGCGGGTGGAAAAGAAGCACAGCCGCCTTTGAGCAGGTAATTAAGGTAGGGACTTCTCAAACTGCGCTGCTTGTGGCTAACAATGACTCCTGTGGTTTAGTTAGCTGCGGTGCTAACGGTAGCTAACGGGCTCAGCTCGCCATTTATTTGTAGCTGAGTCAAATTATAGGTCAGGCGCGTCATAGCAGCTGCCGAAGCAGCTTATTGGTTGATAATAGAGCCTTAATTATAATTCCACAGGTTATCTTCCTATCAAGGTGCACCTAACATTTCCATTAAGAGGAATGCTGCTGCTTCCTGATTCCAAACTCCTGACAGAAGTTAATTTACATAGCAGCTGACCGAGTTTCACAATGCTTTGTGTCCGTGGCAGCACAACACTCAGACAACCGGTTGGATGAGCTCAGTCTCTCATGTCTTTGTGTGGGATAAGACAGCAGAGGGACTAAATGTTCTTAAACGCGCTGCTCCCTAAATGGATTTCTTCAACGAGTCAGGTTCAGGTTTCCCGCTGTGTAATGTGTCTTGTGTCGCCGGTAGGTTTCCCTGTAAGGGTTGGACGTGAAGTCTGAGGAATCTATGTTGCTGCTGTTTCTTACTGGGCTCTTTCAACCTCCTTCTGTCCTCCCTCCAGGTTGCTGCTCCTTTGGTGAGCATCTTTCCTGCTTGGTGGTAGATGTGAAAAATCACTCCAACGCATCCAGGATCGCCATGGCTCAGGACCGGGGGAAGTACGATTTCTACATCGGCTTGGCTTTGGCCATCAGCTCCAGCATCTTCATCGGTGGCAGCTTCATCCTGAAGAAGAAAGGTCTCCTGAGGCTGGCTAAGAAGGGGTCGATGCGGGCAGGTACCGGCCGCTCTTTCTCTGAACACCCAGATCGCAACATATGATGTGATTGAATCTGCCAGCTGCCTTTGAGGCACTCCCTGCTGCTGATGTGCATCGCTGACAGCCAAACCAGAAGTCGGATCAGTCGGGAAACTCGCTAATCCCTGCCCTGTGTTTCACAGGCGTGTTTAAACCAGCTCCCTGGAGCAGGGTGTGTTCACATGTATGTGTCACAGTCTTTTCAGAGCCTGGTAATCATTAATATCAACAGCTCACTTGACCTTTTCCTCAGATCTGAAGGGTCTTCCTTTGATTTGTTTGGATAATGCACTTTAGACAGCAAGTCTAATGAAGACAGATGACATTTTGATGGTTCATAGTGTCTAAAAGCTTTTGTGTAACATAAATGGAAAATATTTTGAGCTAATATGAATTTTGTAGGTTCTTTATAATCAAACTTACAAAAGAGCAACTCTTTTAGTGTGAGGCTCATCTTGATTCTGATGGGGGGGTTTGTCCAGGTTCCTGAAGAACTTAGGGTCCAAAAATAATCTTCTTAATTACAACTTTATTCACTCTAGTTTTATGGAACCTACTTTTGCAACAATGTTGCAATGAAATATTAAGGCTTTCATTTTGAAGAAGTATTTCTACACCTTATTTTAAGAGAATTTGGCTGATCTAATGCAGACGTCCGCAGCATGGAGCTCCAGAGCCACAAGTGTCTCTTTAGTCCTTCCAAGGTTCAATAATAACAATAATTGTGAATAAAAATGTTAAAGAACCAAATTAAATGAAATGAAATGTCTCTTTGGATTGTAAAAGTTGCCAGCAAATTGAAACCCATTGTAGTAATAATCTAATATATAATCAAAGTCTCCTATTTTGGGAACAGGGTGAAGCAAAATGGCCGCTGTTCAATAGGTGGTTTTGGAGAAAAGACATTTTCTCAAAGAGAAACAATAAAATAATTTTTTGTCTGTTTTTCAGGGCAGGGCGGCCATGCATATCTTAAAGAATGGTTGTGGTGGGCTGGTTTACTATCAAGTAAGTGATAATCTTTGTGTTATTGTCATGTTTTTGACTATATAAATCACCTTTCAGCTGATTTGCTTCAGTGACATGAGTTAGTGTGTTTTTGTACTCAGGCTTGTTGCAGTGCTTCAAACCTCAGACATGATTACATTGTTTCCCCATGTCTGGCTCTATTGTGACATGTTCTGACTGCATGCTAATGTTTTGTTTCTTTTGTGATTTTTTTCAGTGGGTGCTGGGGAAGCAGCCAACTTCGCAGCATATGCTTTTGCCCCTGCCACCCTGGTTACGCCCCTGGGAGCCCTCAGTGTGCTCGTCAGGTACAGACGCCTCATCACGTGCACTCCACACCAAAACGGTGTTTTATCAAAACATCGTTTTTGATAAAACGCCGTCTTGAAACTGGAACAAACAGCCCTCTCTTGTTTTTCATTACATTCTTGAATAAATGACCTGAAGTAACATACAGTGTGGAATCTTGTTGGTTTGTTTCCAAGCATGTCAAATCCCAGGTTTAAACTTTCCATCACAGCTTGTTTTTTTTTTCTTCTTTTTTTGTGCTGCAGTGCCGTGCTGTCGTCGTATTTCCTGACTGAGCGGTTAAACCTGCACGGGAAGCTGGGCTGCCTGCTGAGCATCCTGGGCTCCACCACCATGGTCATCCATGCGCCGAAGGAGGAGGAGATCGACAGCCTGGAGGACATGGCCAAGAAGCTGGTCGACCCAGGTAGGGATGACTCAGCAAAATGAAACGCCGTCATCACACAGATGAAATGCCGCCTTAAAACTTTCCGCTACTTTCTGCTCGACAACCTCACAGATGTACTTCCCTTTTTTTGAGCTAGCACAAAAGAGACATTTTGTTCTCAAGACATATAAAAAAAAAAAACTGGTTTGGAGCCACAAATGCAACATTTTAGACAAAATATGTTCTTTAGAAGAATTCTTTTTCAAGGAGTTTTATTTCTATTTTTTAGGATTTAAAATAAAGAACATAAGAAGTTGTTTTCTTTTCTTAAATTAAAAAAGCACACGTTTTAACCCAATATAATGAGGAAAACCTGCCTAAAAACATATTACTGATACTGTTAGTGTCATTCTTTCTGGACACTCAGTGCAAATATCGCAAGAAACATTTTTTTAAAAAACGTCCCAAAACATAAAAAATTAAAAATCCTGCATTTGTTGCTATATCTTTATTTAAAAACACCAACAGTTTTTTCTTACTTTTCAGTCAGAAGTTAACAAGAGCCACTTTGTAAAGACTGGCACCGGAACCGCAGGTTCTGTCAGGGTTTCTGTAGGTTTCATCAACTTCAATTTAAGACTTTTAAGTTCATCATAACAGGAATTTAAGACCTGTGTATGAATGAACGTCATCCATACAACTGGCCATAAGTCTGAACTTTCCCATGATGGACCCCAAAAGAACTAGTGAACTAGCACCGTTATGTTAGCACTTAGCAGGTAGCCTCAACTGTCTCAAGAACGCAAAAGAAACTCAAATTTCTGCCTGGAAATAAAAACCCAAACTAGAATATACAAGATGAACAAGATGTAAGACCTCTGATTAACATATGAACATATAAAAAATAACTTTTGAGAAACTTGCATGTTCGAGCACATAAAATACATTCTTGCATGTGTCTTGAATACTATTTAAAAAGTATTTTTGAAAATCTTTTCAGGGTTTTTGGTCTTCGCCACTCTTGTCATCATTGTGGCTCTCATCTTCATCTTTGTGGTCTCCCCGCGCCACGGTCAGACCAACATCCTGGTTTACATCACCATCTGCTCCGTGATCGGGGCGCTCTCCGTGTCCTGCGTCAAAGGCCTGGGCATCGCCATCAAGGAGGGCATCGCCGGCGTCAACGTGTTTCAGAACCCGCTGGCCTGGATCCTCCTCCTGGCGCTGGTGGGCTGCGTGAGCACACAGATCAACTACCTGAACAAGGCCCTGGACATCTTCAACACCTCGCTGGTGACGCCCATCTACTACGTGTTCTTCACCACGTCCGTGCTCACCTGCTCCGCCATCCTCTTCAAAGAGTGGGAGCACATGGGCGCCGGCGACGTGATCGGCACCCTCAGCGGCTTCCTCACCATCATCGTGGGCATCTTCCTGCTGCACGCCTTCAAAGACGTCAGCGTCAGCTTGGCGACGCTGGCTGTGTCCATCAGAAAGGAGGAGCGCGGCGCCCCGGCGGCCAACGGCTCGGCCGCTCACACCAACTACGAACTGCTGCAGGACGAGTCCACAGAGGACATGGAGGACAGGAGTTTGCCTTTCGACAGCGTCTCAAGGAGGAACGGAGCAATGACTTCCTCTTTAGATGCTTAAATGGTTTTTTGTTTGTTAGTTTTGTCTTCAGACTCAACCGTTGCGTTGGTGCCGATAGCTTCTAAAATAATGAGACAATCAACTGTGAGAGGAGGAAGGGAGACATGGATGGACCAGTAGATTGTATTTGTTTTAATTTGCCTTAATTTACTCAGACTGTCATATTTGGTTATAGCTGAGGGTAATGAACTTATGAGAAAAAGTTTTTCCATATTGGTTAAAACTGTCACCATGTCCACACAGTGCGACACAGATAATCTGTGAATACTTGGAGCTACTGCTGCCGTCTGAGGGAACGCACTACTCCCATTATGATATAAAGTTGTTCCCTCATCAAAAAACACACCTGGAGTGTTGCCTTGACTCTTTCATGCATGTTTGAGAAATCCTTTCATTGCCTGTGGCAACCATTCAGCTGTGCGAAACATCTGGTTGGAGCTAGCTCCGCCTATGAGGCGCAGCTCCTCCCTGACCTCAAAGAGCGGCTCTCCCATACTGCCCCACCCAGCAGCAGCAACACAAGAGCCATGTTGTGATGACTTCCTGAAGGCGGAGTTTCAGACAGAGCAGGTGTTTTTAAAGAGACAGAGGCCCAATTTTAAGGCGTTAAATTAGGAAATAAAATTTCTTGTAAGTTGTATTTGACACATGTAGTGTTTTTATAGCAACTCAAGTTGTTTCATTGAGCTCTAAATGACATTATATGGCTGGAAAATGCATAATATTGCCCTTTTAAGTCTGACAACGGGGCAAATAATGGAGCGCAAGCTCTGCTTTTAGCGTTGTTAACCTGTTGTGGTTCTGGTGCAGCTGTGTGTGTGAGGAGATAAAATAATAGAGCAAGGATGCAAAAATCATACTGCCATAACACGCCGCTGCGAAATGCGCTAATGGTGGAGAAACAACTTACCACTTCAGGAAAACCGTTTATCCACTGTCATCTGTGGCTACGCTAACTAGCCTTAGCATTCATGGCAGGCTCCGCTAACAGCGCTAAGAGCCTCTCTGGCTCTGATTGGCTGAGCTGTGTATGTTGGTGGTTAGTGATAGAAGGCAGAGGAGCTCCATTTTATTTTTCAGATTATCTGTCAGATTATCCATATTGTCACGACTGTGATAGTTTTAATAAATATGCAAAACAAAGCATTTCTAAAAGTCACCTGCCCCGGCTTTAACTGACTTGCATTCCTCTGTAGCTCTGTAAATATTTTCTAAAGAAATGCTTTGTTATATGTACATGAATTTTCACATACTGACCTTCTTTCTATGAATCAAAAATATAAAGCTAATATATTCTGGTTTGAGGACCTGCTGACAATGACATTTTGACAAGAACCGCACTATGATTGACATTTTTTTGTGATACTTGAAAGTAATTTATGTTTGGAGTCTTATCTGGAGGTAGGTGGGGGAACGTTTTACATAAAAAAAAATCTCTTGACAAAAAAACATTTGTTACATATTTATTGAATTAAAATGATTAAAAGATTTCAAACAAGGCATAGTAAATAATTTGCTTAACATAATAAGGATGAGGGTTATTTCTCAGTATTTTTTTAAATGTTTGAGCATGCATGTAGACAGTACAAAATTACCATTTTTTTTCCTTCCTCAAAAATAGGTTCACCCTTTTAATGTTCCACCACAGCAAACCCTTAAATACACATAAAACTAAATCCCCTCCCTGAACTACAGCTACCTCCAAGTACAAAATAGCTCTTTCAAAGAAAGGGCTGTATCTATTCTTTTCTCATAAGGCACAAGTGAATACAAAAAAAAAAAGTTCAAACGTTCAAAAAGTGGCCCCTTATATCGCATTTAATGGTCCTTAGCTACTGAAGGCCAAAGGAAAACAGGAGGATGCTGACAGTGTTTGGAACCCAGAAGCGGTCCCAAAGTGCGAGCGGAGGAGCAGCGGCGCCTCAGCTGCTGGCGAGCGACTGGTGGATCGGTGGCTGGAAGCAGCGGACGTGTTCCACCGGCATGTTCTCTCCGTCTCCAGACTTCATGTATTTATTCAGGATGGCAAAGATCTCGTCGTTCAGGACCTGGAATTTGCGGATTCTGTCCACCATCTTCTTTAGAGGCTGGAGAAAACACACAGATATGCCTCACATTAACATTAATCCAAATAAGTGATTTCCCATGATGCCTCCCTACATGCTCATTTGTCACAATGAATCAGTGACGTTAGATGCGGCATCCTTTATTTGAAGAGGACAGTAATAAATAGTTCTGATTTCCCTCATAGTTACTCATTTTTGCCAGCGATGGCAACAGAAATGTGAAGTATCTTAATTTATTAAGTCATTAGTCAGAGTCACAGAGTAAATGATGGGAAATCGGTAATAAAATCTCTTTGTGCACTGCGGGTTGTGTTACTGAGCCTCTCCAACTCACCACATTCTTGATGATCTCATCCTTGCCGTCGTGTTTCTGCACCTTGAGCAGGTGATAGCTGAAGTCCAGGATGTCGAATCGTCTCTGCTGTCCCAGCAGGGCGATGATCATGCAGCCCGCCCAGTGGAGGCCGTCTCCAAAGCACTGCCTGCAGGAAGGGAGCAGGGAGCGGACGCACGTTTCAGATAAACACGTTGACTTTCGCGGCTCATTTGTGGTTGAACAGGAAGAGATCCTGCACTCACTCCACTGTGAACTCGTGGGCTCCCACAGGGATGCAGTAGACGAACTGCATGGCGCTCCACAGGCGGTGAAACTCCACACATTCGTCCACGTGCATCACGCCGTTGCTGGGCAACGGGCCACGCCAGATGGCGTCGTCCAAGAAGCCGCGCACGCGCGTCAGGATGACTTCGAACATGGACAAGCCGCAGCACAGCCGCTCTTTGGTCAGGAGGTCGCCCTCGCGCGCGATGGCTATTTGCTGAAGGAAAGGGAGCGATAGTTTTCTGGTCATAATGTCACTCTGGCAGGATTTTCACGAAGTACAAATGCTACGATGCTACGACGTCCACTCTGCTCTGCTTAGCCCGGTCCTACCTGCGGTGTTCCGAGGCGCTCGATCAAAGGAACCATGTGCAGCGCCGTGTATTTAGCTTCCAAACGCTTCATCTTGGCATCCAGGCGTTCCCCATCTGAACGGCAAGGAGAAGACAAAGAATGGGTTGATTCTACCAACTGTATCTTCTGGTGCAGGAAGATTTCGAGACATTTTATCAACAATGTTTTGATTTGATTTACGAGAGTCATCTGTAGTAAGTGACATCTAATCTTTAAATTTGGAACTTGTGGTATAAAGAAAATTATTTATGTCAAGCATCTATTTTTAAGTTAACAGTTTTTTTTAAAGGAACAAGTTATCTAGAAATAGACAGTCTGGTTTTGCCAATTCATAAAAGATTTGCAGCACAAAAACAAACAAAAAAAAAAGCATAATTGGACTGTTATCAGCAACCCTACAACCAATAATATATATATTGATTCAGAGAATCTTAAATGTATTTATTCCAGGGTATTGATTTCAAAGGACAATCCCCGCACCCCCAAAAGAAAAAGATTACATATTTTAGTGAACAAACTGTTTTTTGTTTTTTTATGTATGCTAAGAACAATGTCAGTCATTGATTTGGTGTCATGTGCAGGTGACAAATCTTTTCTGATTTAATGTTTTTTAATTTTTGAAAAGTAGAAAAAATAAATCCTGAAAATATAAACAGAAGGAATAAAAACATTTCTTGGAAGGACGAGAGGAAGACATTAGTTACTTCCATATAAAACAACAGAAACTGCTTGGAATGAGGAGGGGAGGGAATCGTTTAGGAAAGAAACTCCATTCAAAACGATGTGAACATCAGGGAAACTTATATCCAGAGATAGAAATGTAGAATGGTCAGATTAGTGTAGACATATGTACATCTGAAACTGTTTTTGTTGTTTTGCTGCTTTGCAGTAGGAATACTAACTGTGCCTTGACGTTAATGTTCTTACCTTTGACATGCACTCGCGGCAGGATGTTTTGGAAAGGCGCAGCATGCAGCAAGTCGCACACTTCTTCCTGAGACTGTAACACACGGACATGAAAAACGTCAGCCGGCTGCAGAGCAGAGTCGGCGCTGCATCCCGAAGCGGGCCGATCCGTACCAGACTCTGCTCACTCAGCAGGCAGAACAGGAGGGCGTTGCCGACCTCTCTCAGGTTCTGGAAGCACACCGTCTTGAGCTCGGCGTACTCCACAATGTCCTTCAGCTGGTGGTGGAAGAACTCCAGGATGCCTGGAACAAAAACACAAGGCACCTGTGCTTAATAATAATAATAATAATAATAATAATATTTGGGTTATATGCTGAACTGAGATATGATGCTCTCCTCTAACATTCAGTGCGCTGCCACCTACCAGGGGAGCCGTACTCGTGGCGTGGAAGTCTGCAAATCTTGGGCATGACCTCCATCAGCGTCTTCACGTACTGCAGGATGGTTCCCTGGAGCTGAATGACGGAACAGAGGGCGACAATAATGATGATGATGATGATGATGGAGAAAGGACAGAAGCTCCACCCGTGGTCTTCCAGATCACACTCACTAGACTTTTGACGACCTTAAGCAGCTCCTCCATCACCACGGCGATGCCCTGGTAGCCCAGCAGTCTGCACATGACCTTAATGTGTGGCGGGCCAAGAAAGTTCCTATAGGTGGTGAATGTGCTGCTGTACGCCAGGTTCAGGGTCTGCACACCCACACACACAAAAAGACAGGTGATGATTAGGAAAAACCTTCTTTTATGTGATGGTTTTGCCCATGAAATGAGCTCAAATGAAGTTTACTTGGTCACAATATGAAAAATTCACACTGTAAAGAAGCAACAAATCAAAATGAAAAAATGTTTGAGTTCTCAGGAGAAAATGAAAGACAAATAAGTAATCTAATGAAAGAAATAGGATTTAAAAAAAACCCTACAAAATAAAATGTAAAAAAATGGAGCAAATCCCAAAAACAAAGCTAAAATGTTCAGCGTCTTTAACTAAATGACGCTAAAAGCAACCGCTCTTCGTTAAATTATCTGATTATCATCACTATGTCAGGGTTTCTGACTTGCAACTGTAATGAGTTTTTACTTCTGAGGCTAAAAACAAAAGTGTGTTTGAGGTCGACAGATCACAACAAGGCGAAGAAACAAGATTTTAATTTAATCCACTTCCTCAAACATTTAAATCAGCTTTTCAAAAACTACAAATGTGAACACCAGGCTCCATGACAGCGTGGTCGGCGCTGGTTGTTGTGCTGTGGGAAGAAGCAGCGGGACAGATGGATGAAGTGGCTGCAGCACATTTCGTCTCGCCACTTAAAATTCCAGGTACGACACGCATCATATTCCTGGTCAACGGGAAATTAAAGATCTGCATCGCATCTGATCTGCATGTTGATAGAGGAGCTACAGTCCCTGTAGAGAGTATGACCTACGACTGACCCACAGATGGGAGAAAATGCACTTTTTTTTATCCCAAACAGGAGATTTTAGCTCCCTCTCCTGCGTTTGCTCTAATCCGCTAACACTCCCTCTAGTGTTGCAGAATCTGAGATAAAGACGCGTTGATCGGTGCTTCACTCCCTCGGAGCGGGACTCTGCATCGAGCATCTCCATCTGGTTACAATGGGAGAGACGTTTGAACACCAGCAGCGACGCTCAGCACACTGGGAGGACCGTCACACAGCGGAGTGTTTTCATGGTAGGCTTGAATTTTATCCACGTCATGCTGTGAATTGTCTCAAAATAACTTCAGCGCTGCGGAGATCATATATTGTGCCAGCACACGCAACAGAAAGTCGATAAATGTTAATCTGATCGAGAAAGTAAACTTGCACGTGAATGCATGTTTTTGATTTACCAAGTCGAATGTTCAACATGTCTGCCTTTAAACTTACAACTTCTAATTACTAAATGACTAAAAACACCTATCCAGGGTTAGAGGTTAATAAAAGAGGAAAAATGGAGGACAATGTAAATTTGAAGCCTAAACTTAATGAAGAAGTAAAAACAGTGTGATCATTTATTTACTCCAGTTGTTGCATTAAAAAATGTAAGTGCAGAACATTTAAAATTTTAATTGCTTTAATCTACTAAAACCCAAAGCACTTTTTTTTTTTTTTCCTAACGATGGTTTCGGCTGACAGATCATCACCTTTCCTTTCACATAACAGGTGACAGAGTAAAGATAAGCCTCTGCACTAACAATCCTGTATTATGTAATTTAGTGAACATCTGCACACATCTTCATCTGCCTCCCAGATAATCCATCATACAGTACTCAGTTACTCCTATAGGTTTTTTGCACTCTTATTTTATTTTACTTTAAAACTATTATTTAAATATAGAAAGAATAAATTCTTCATAAGGTCCAATAGCTGAAGCCTGTTTTAACAACAGACGAAAGTCTATTGGTTGAAATAAACATTTAAACGAGTGGGTTGGATGAGAGATTTGTGCCATTTACTTCTGGTGGGATTGAGTTACTGTGGTGGTTTTTTAATCTAAAAACTACACCAAAAACCAAGTGAGGTTTAATGGGAGGCAGATGTGGTTTCATGCCTCCACTTTAAGGTGCAGTTTTGGATCACATACATACAAGCTGTATAAGTTGCATTCAGTGGGAATGGGATCAATCACCATCACAGTTTCTTTAGGAGTTTTTTTTTATTTTTTAGTTGTGTTTAATGTGTTTAGCATTTCTTACTCTGTACTTCCGTCGCCTCTTTTACAGTCTGACTTAATGTTGTGAGCCTGCGGCTGGAAAATAAAGCCAAACCAAACAGGAAGCTCTTCTTCTGTCGTCATGGTGGTCACGGTCTACAACATCTCGTCCACCTCGGCCAGGGTGACGTGGCCCGCCTCCCCCGCCTGCCTGGACACCTTCTACAGCGTCATGTACGATCCCAACTGGAACAGCCTCATCATGGGCTACAAGCGCAAGAGCTTCAAGCACGAGGAGCGCATCCCCGTCAGCCAGACCGCCACCTACCTGGGCAACCTGCTGCCCCAAACCGCCTACTTCCTGTGCGTGACGTGCCAGGCCGCCGACCCCGTTCGGGAGCAGTGCCAGGTGTTCAGCACACCGAGCGAGAGCAGCGAGGGCCACGACCGGGCGGGCTGGGAGGTGGCGGTGGGCGTGTGGCTGACCTGCTGCCTGCTGCTGCTGGTCATCGCCGGCGTCCTGCTGTGGGGCTGCCTCCACAACATGTGCTCCCTGCCGGGCCGCGCCGCCGAGAGCCGCCCCGTGGTGACGACCTCCACCCGCCAGGACATGTCCAGTTCGGGACACCTGTTCCAGGCCAGGAGCAGCAGCAGCGAGGAGAGCATCAAGCGGGCCACCGCCATGCAGACGTCGCTGATGCTGGCGCAGCCAGGCGGCCATGTAATTACCCCGGAGCATGAGGGCTGAGCCGGCTGACAGAGAGCCGGCATTAATCGAGCGGATTGAGGTCACCACGGTATTGTTCCGCGCCCCCCACCGACCCCGGCCGAATTATCGCCGAACGTTTTACCCCGCTCAATGAAAATCCTGTTTGAGCTTACAGGGATATTGTCATAGCAACCATTCACAACAAGACTGTTTGAACCATTTTAAGTGAGTTAACCTAAACATACAAGATGATACAGAGAAGATGGTCATTCTACTAGAAATATTAAACTCAAAGGGTTCTTTCAGCTTTAACCTTCTAGACTTCTATTTTATTTTATTTTTTTGCAGAGAGGGATTTTTGTCTAAACATTTTGCACAAGACCTAAGAGACATGAAGCTCAGCACAATGTTTCCTTGAATAAAGTTTCCTTTTCTTTATTTTCTGTAGGGATTTCATTAGGCCCAGACAATAAATGAATTTAACTGATCAATAAAATATTTAGTTTTTGCAAATGTAATATTTGGAAAGTCTGGATTTTTGTTTTTTTTTCAATGAATGCACTTCTTAGATCTTCACAGTTCAGTGATGTCATCTTGTTGGACTAACATGTTTTATTATCTGGATTTTGAAGTCAGGTCAACTATACGGGGAATTGTAAGAGTCAGGCAAAGATTTTTTTTATTTTTCCGAAAATAAAGTAAATGTTACAAGAATACAGTCGTAGTTATACGAGAATAAAGTCAGAATAATACCAGAATAAAGTCATAATATTATTTATTTATTTTTTTGCATAAATAAAAAAATATATTTTCTTATAATTTTGCGACATTTTTCTGGTAAAATTGTGTCTTTATTCTGCTAATATTATAACTATATTCTTGTAATTAAACAGAAATTCTTGCAGCCTGACCCTAATACTGTGTTGTACAACTCACAGAAAGAATGACTGAAGTTAAAGCCCCTTACTGACAATATTTTCCATCATTTGTAATTTATTTTTTAGAAAAGAAAGCAAAAAGAGAGAGAAAAAAAGATTAAAATCAGAAATCAGATGTGGTATGAAAAATTTCTGAGGTTGTGTTTTTAAGCCATCTGGCCCAGCCCTAGATTTGACTATCATGCAGTAAACATTTAGCTTTAACATGTGCTTATGCACAGCTGGTCAGGTCACTACAAAAAATAAATAAATAAATAAAAATAATCTGTTGCTTATGGAATCCAAAGAAATAAAGCAAGTCGTTCTCTGGGAGCAGTGGTAACAGAGGAATGCACAGACCTTTGACCCATACAGATAATGGGGCTGAGCGTTGGGGGGCTTATCCCTCTGGAACTCTTGAGAGAAGGGCAGGATGGTGCGCACAAACCTGGACGCACAGAAGGAGATTATTCAAACTCGCGTCGCAGCGCTACATCAACAGCTGGGTACATTACACAGACAAAAGTAAACAATGAACACACACTGTCATCAGGAGCAACTTTACAACCTATCAGCCACAAACCCATCTCTTTACAAACAAGCTGTTGTTGAAACTTTCAGAGCTTTCATGAGCCAGATTTTATGTAACTGTAGAGAAAATACCGTGTCCATTAATGCAACACCTAGCGAAGCACAATGAAGAGAACCAATTTCAATAAATGTAAACCAAGCCAATAAATACCTGGGACAACCAGATGATTATTAAAGAGTTATGGAAAATGTACTTTTTTGAGCTTTAAATCATGTTTTAGTGTTATTCTTTCATCAAAAACATATCAGCTCCTTCAGACTAGCCAGCAGCAATTAGCAAACACCTGATGGAACTGTGCATCTACTGAGCTCATTATAGGAGCTACTACTCAGTGAAACGTTGAAGGATCAATAGAGTAATGATGTTCTGATGACTTCCAGAGGGTAGTTTCTTAAAGAGACAGAGGACCAATTTCAAAGACTTAAATGCAGCATTTTCATAACAACTGAAGGTAACATATTAACTTGATTATGCTATAAAGTGGCGCCATGTGGCTGGAAAACACACAAGACTGATGAGTCTGGAAATGTGAGCTGACTCAACTCAGCTCACATTTCCAGTGGAGGGAAATAAAAAAATATGATTCTTTTCTAATCAGTGAACATGCCAGAGTTGCAGTAAGAGTTACAAATTTAACTGTTAAAGTGAAGACATAAAAAACTGGGTCATGAAGCAAAATTTAAAACGCATTTATCCGACTGCTGATTCAACAGCAACAGTCTCAGTCATCAATAATAGCTTGTTTTGTTCTGTAATATTATTTAAATATTTCTTGCAAAGTAAATGAGCATTGTATGAGCATTGTTGTGTTGTTTATGTACCAACTACATTAATGTTGATGAACGTTTTTTTTCTTCTTGTAAATCAACAGCTCTTATTCAGCCTTTAAAACTGCAGTCTGGTTTGTTTTGTTTTTGTTGACGGACCACAAATCTTTAAGTGCAACTAAAATAAAGCCCCCAAAAAAATGAAACTCAATAGGACGAAATGAAAATCAAAATTTAGGACGATATAAAAAAAAAAGATACAAACAGGTGCCGTTTATTTATTTGAGTCAGTCTGAGAAATATGAGGAGAACAATTGTGGCAGCTGCAAACTCAGCTCAGCTGGCATCGTGCTCTGCTTCTGCTGAGCTGGCCATTTGCATTTATTTGTTTAAAACCAAGCTGATCCTTCTGACTTTTCCCTGATCCTTCTGTTGTTTTTAACTGAAAATAATCACAAAATAGGGAATTTACTGCTGAAACGGACTCTTAAATGCATCTGGTTCTCATTTCGTTTTGTGTAAATTCATTCTCACTGAGTAAAACTGAAACACAGAGGCTTCATTTTCTGTTTTTACAGTTTTTATGTATTGTTGGCCATCATTTCTAAGTACATAAAAAATAATTTGCATACATCCCTGAGAATTTAACCCCAGCTGAACTAAACATGGCGGCCTCTCTACTGAAGCCGACCCACCTGTTGGTGGAACCGTTGTAGCAATAGTTGGGCAGAAAGTCGTAGTTGAGCTCCCAGAAGACGTGCAGCGTTATCCTGCCGTACGGAGCCGACACGTTGTGGTTGGCCTCGCGGAACATGGCATCGAAGCTGTCCAGGGTCAAGAACTGACTGAGCAGCTTGTGTGTCATGCGATTGACCTCCAGAAGACCTTCGAGCTCCTGGAAACAGGAAGTGAAAACAGTTGGCGAATGCAGAAAAGGCGGCTTTTCTAATAAAAACAAAAAACTGAAACGTCGACGTGCCATTATGGAGGTGAGGTCCTCGCTCTCGAAGCGGTTGATCGCGAGCTCCAGAGATTTGTGGAGCGCCGCCGAGACGCGCTGGGTGATGAGTCGGTTCAGGTCGATGGAGCGGCCCAGGAGCTGAGACAGAGGTTCTGTTAGTAAAGGCGGAGGGCTGCAGAAGAACAGGCGAGGGGAGGGAGTAGCAGATAAGGGACACACCTGGACATGGCGCTGCTTCAGCAGGGTCTCGTATCGGTTGGAAGTGGGCCAGGGAATGTTGGCACCCTGGTTCTTGCAGTCGGCTCTCAGGCGTTTATCGAGGAGAAGACTGAAGGATTCAAAAAGAGAGTGAAAAGACTTAAAAACCCTCTAATAAACAACGAAATAAAACGATGTGGTGTTTTTTTGTTTGTTTCGAGCTGCAGATGATACACAAAGTGAATAAAATTCTCATTCAAACTCAAATCAACAGAGAAGTTGTGGAAACGTGGACAAAGTTGGACGTTACAAACGCACATTAAATTTTTTTTTTTTTCCATTTGTGCATTTTTTTGATTAATGGACCAATCTAAAAAAAAACTTTTATTCTGATATATTAATTTATTAGTATAATTATGTAGCTTTACTTGTACTCCTTCAGGATGACTTTCACCAACTGTGTGGGCATATTTACAGAAATTGTTATTATTAATATGCACTGCAAATGTACTGAAAATAAATAAGTAAAAAGAAATACATAAAAAAAAGTAGTAAAATTTTAAGCCATATTTACACCAGAGACTTGCTGATGGCAACAAAAAGCATATTTGTTCCTGAAACTTGCATCAAATTCCTATTTTCACAATCAATTCTAGTTACTTTTTGTTGTGTAATCCATTCACTCCGGAGAATAATAACTCAAAATAATCACTGCAGGTCCAAATTATTGACAATGATATATGGAAACCTGAACTCTACAGTTCAGCCAAAGTGGCCAATTACCTCCCACTCTAAAATCAGTTTTTTCCTGAAATTATGAATCACTGCATGACAAAATCCACTACAACCTCACATAACATGCAGATATTTAGACACATCCTTCTTTTTATTTGGAAAAGAGAAATAGCGGAAACAGAAGCACTCACCTTCCAGCTAGTATCTTGTAATAGGCGAATATCTGATCAGCCAGCTTGTAGACAAACTGATCAAAACACAAGTTGACCTGAAAAAGCAAACTTAAGAGTTAGAGTGCCTCGTAAACACAGAAAATTAAACAACAGAAGGCAGTAATGTTAAACTGCTCACGCAGCAATTTGACTTTTGTGACTTTTCAATTTGATTCAAGAAAAGAAAAAGGAAAAACCCTCAACATTTATAAACTGTTATGCAATGGCTCTATATATATCAGATATGCAACAGAGATTATTGAAGGGAGATGAATCATGGATTTATGGTGCACAACAACATGACTGCAAACAATATACAGTATTAACGGGGGGAGCATATTTCGTCATGAAGCTCAGCCGCACCGAATATAAAAGATTAAGCTTTTCTAAAGGACCATCACATCATCCAGGACACATTTGCAGTGCATTACCTCCGCCTCTATTTCATCATAGAGGAATTGCTTCTTGAATTTGGTCAGAGCGTAGTGTGCACTGTCGTTGTACAAGTCCAGGGGATACAACACGTACCTGCACACATTTGAGGGAGACTTTATGTTACTCTTAAAAGTTTGCTTCAAATGTGCCTGAAAAAGTTCCAGGATGTAATACAGTGACATTTGCACATCATTAAGTCCTAATCCTGCCATCGACTGACAAACTATGAACACATTCTGCCAAACTGTTCCTGCAAGGTGGATGCTTAAAAAAAAAAAAAAAAAGATGACATCATCTTGACACAAGCAAATGAATAACGATTTATTCTAGCATCGGTCGGAAGAATTACAGAGTTCTGGCTGGTGCCAGAGAATGTGCTTAATGGCTTATGTAAATCTGTAGCGTACCACGGTAATCCAGTGGCCAACATGACAACATGAAGAAACAACATCCAGCTTTGCAGAACAACTATGGAGAATCTGGTCAGAAAGGTGAGCATGTGGTGCACAGAGAAAGTATTCACACCCCTGAGCTTTTCCACTTTTAGCCACGTTGCAACCAAAAACGTCAATGTTGTACAATGAGATTATATCAGATCAACACAAAGTGCTTAAACGTGGCCTAAACATGATAAATGGATTTCAGAGTCTTCTATTGCTCTCCAAACGTTTCACTAGGTTAAGCCCAAGTAAAATCTAGTT